GGGACCTTTTCATGGGAGTATAATCTATTTTTATTACATGAAAATTAATGTTTTGCTGATTTCAATTTTCAATGTATGTACCGTACCATAGATATTTTTCAAAATTCACCTCTTCCCTTATAATCATTAACTTTCGTTATAAACTGACTATATAAAAGACATAATAAACATCAAATTATGAAATAGAGAAAGCCCATAATCTTTGATATTTTGACAATGCTTTATAGATTTCAAACACAATGCTAGCAAGTCTCAGACACATTATTCTCCAATGAGTCTAAGATTTGTATTATTATTTTTTATTAATTAATTTATAAATTTCCTTTTCCCTTTCCTAACAAGTTTTTTTCAACAAAAAAAAATAATTAATAATAACGACCTAACAAGTTTATGTAGTAGTCAGGGGTGTTATGTTATTACGTACGGATAATTAGAATATAGGCTTTAGTTAATCCGATCTGATTAGGATTATAATTTTTTTACCCATGTACTAAATGGTTTAAAGCTAACTTTGATGGGTTTATGGGCTAATACTGAAAGAGAGATCAGAAAACTTGTATTCTCACAAGCAACTAAAATGATATGTGAGGTTACTAAAAAAAAAAAATGATACGTGTATTATGTATATGCGAATATAAAACCATACACTCAATATATACAAAATGTAAACAAAATAAAAAAATCATTAAACGGATTAGAAACCCACGGATGAACTTAGTCTAGCCCTCAAATTAGAATCATATAAAAATTACAAAAGTTTTGACCCGTGAACTTCAATAACCAAAATTGACCTAATCTTAATCTGTTATACATACGTTACAAACCCGTGATAGACCGACGAGTCGGGATGGATCATTCTGATTGACACCTAGCAGTAGTTGGTGCTGATAAGGATGGACCAATTTGATTTTTCAACACTTTATGTTTTATTTCTTTCTTCCTTCCACTTTCTTTCAGCATTTTACTTGTCGTCTCTCTTTTATATAATATGAATGTAAATATAAATGTCATTATCTGTTATGCGAGTATACGTAACACATCTCATATAAAACAAATTAGTGAAAAGCTCAACTGTGAAAAAGACATCATAAACAAATAAAACTAATTTGGCTGAAAAAAACCTAAACTTATCAACCCCGATGTGAAGGAATCTATTAATTCTAAATGCATTCGATGACTATATATATAATTAAAGTTCAATTCACACTAGTTGTATTTTTTTCTGATTAACGCAAGTTATTTTAATATTTATTGTTCATCTTATCACGTTTCCTTCCTTCGAAGCATGAACTCGGCCACGTACGTCCCCATCTATCTTGTTCGTTTGTATAACTTAGGAATTTGGTATTTAATATAAATCTATGTATAGAAGATAAATTAAAAACGAATATGAAAACGTATAATGGGACAAATAAGTCTATTCTAAAATGATAAAAAGCTCTGAAGAAATTTTATTTTAGTGGTGTTATTAGGCCTAGTTTCTGACATAGGAGCAAAATCGAGAATTAGATATAGACAAATGAACATGTCGACAAAATATAAATACAAATGAAGTTGAGTAAAAGAAAGACAACCGAATATGTCTTTTTCTACGATTTTGGTTTATCTTCAAACTTATACTTTCTCAACCTTGTTGAGTATTATTTTTAAGAAAAGTTTTGGTCTAAATTCAAAAAATGTAAACATAACATCATCTATAATGACCCAAAATAATGATTTCTAACTATTTTTCGTTTATAAAACATGCATTTTATGTATTTAAATATGAACAAACAAGATAATGACATGGGTAATAAGACTGAAAGTTTTTGCAATATATTTTATATTTTTTTGTTATTTTTCTGTTAATAGCATCTACTATATTCATAGAATTATGCGATTTCTAACATAAAAGTAAAAGACTTTATACAATGGCTATTAAATTAAAACTTTATACACTGCATTAGATTCGCATAAAGATAACGTTTAGTGGCTTAAAAAAATATTAAAACTAAAATAGAGAGAGAGACACGCATGAATGAATTGT